TAAATGGCAACCAAATATGAAGGTTGGTGATTACTCATCTAATTGTCGAACAAGTTTTAACACCGTTTGTTGTCACGTATGATATTCATCAACTTTGTGAATTATTTGTCTATGTGGATGAATGGAATTGAGATGGGTAATTGATGGACGATGTTGAGTAAAAGTGAGTAAGCAACCAGTAATATTTTATTTTTGAGTGAGCAAGTAGTAACAAAAGATAAATGTGGTGATTACTCATTTAGTTAACTCCAAACCCCTCTTCTATTTTGTCTTTATTTTTTCTAAATAATTGGGGCATTCACTAATAATTTTCTTACATGCATATAAGAAATAGAAATAGATCAAAGCTTATTTTCCTAAAAATGTAACGAAGGGCGACTAATAAATAAGGTTTATGTTGCTTGTACATATTCATTTTAGCAGATTGGTGTCAGATTCATACTTAACAATTTGTGATTGGATGGTTGAAAAATATTTTTGACACAATTGTCAGTGAAATCCTGCCAAGTATGAATCTGGCACCATTGTGACAAAATAAATCTGTACATGTAGTATATCTCAATATATAATAAAAATTAAATTGCAAATATGAGTACAAAAGAAAATTTATTGCACGATCAATGTAACAAATTAAACTATAGAAATTTTTATACAATAAAAATATTGTAGATTAAGTTATTAAAATTAGAGCTAAAATTATTTGCGTGGGTAACACTACTAATTAAGAAAAAAAAATTAAAATCATAGTTTAAAGGGGGATTGGGAAGGAAGATTTTAAGATGGGAACTACAAAAATGTAAAAAAAAAAAATTGAAGGATTTTTGTAATCTCAAGGTAATAAATGCAGAGTGGTAGTGAGTAGGGAAGCTTCGTTTCTCATAAATTAATAAAAATTAAGCGGCTTATGCAGAAAATAATCAGAATGGACCACTGTATTAATGAGGATATGAGAGATCCATTTGTTGTGCTGATCATATGATCATCTCAATTTGAAAATTCTGGTAACTTTCTTATCTGTTTCTCCATCACAGATTCAACCCCTCTTTGTTTTCCATTATTTGACCATTACAATAAAAAATATGACGTTTATCCATTACATCAAACCGCCATATTTGAATTTCTATCTCTTGCATGGAGCTCATAACGGCTACATTTTTCATTCTCATTTTTACATATATGAGAAACAAACGGAGCCTTAGAATAACAAATTATCGTGCAGTCTTTTTTATTTATTTTTTCGTTCATTTTAAATTTGAAGACAAGACTGCCTTTTTCTTCGCAGGCAACATTTTAACAGAATAAATGTAAGGTACTAGATGGAAAGATCTATTTACGCAAAGAATGATCCATCATCCAAATGTCAAAAGTGAAACGATAGGATGATTTGTGTTATGAAGGCAAAAGATATGGACATTTTGCGCCCATTATCATTTGCGTGCGTTTAATTTATCATTGGAACTAGAAATTGAATTACTTTTATTTTCCGCGTTGAAACACTAAAAAGGTCAAGAATATGTTTTGAGTTTTATATTATAAATTAATGTGGTTTTCAAAATTACTAAATCAAATCAATTTTGAGTCATTTACAAAATTGAAAATTGAAAAACTGATTGAAATCGCAAATCAAACGTTTTTCATCGAAGCATAAGTAATCGTGATAGTTGATAATGATATTATACGTGAAATTCACATAGGTCATCATAATTTATGCTGTTTCAAGTTAATTTGTCTAATTTCGTTAGTTTGCTAAACGTGTTGACATCTACGTATTATCAACAATCGTTTTAGTATTTCAATCTTCGAACCGCTCGATTTATTAAAGAGAGTGATTGGAATAAAATTATAAATTGAGTAATTTAAATAAAATTTAGTGACTCTCTTGAGATTAGAATCTAAAAACTTATCTAAAAGTTTTTATTTTCATAATGTGAAATTATGTTGTTAACAGGAGCTTCTAGTGCTCAAATGAGCTGTAACGATCTCTAATCGCGTCTTTCCACGTCTATGCTAAACTGCCGACACCTAAGCGAAAACACTCAAAATTGCTGCCTCTATAACTTTCTTATCCAGTAAAATCACACAAAATCAAAAGTAATTTGGTATAATATTCCAAACGAACTCAACGGATTTGGAGCAACAATTAAGGAAAAACAACCTATTTAATATATTTATGGCTTCATATTGAAAAAGAAGAATTAAAATTCATTTTACAATATTGTTTTTTACACCTCTTCCGTCAAGGCTCCAAACACGAAACACGTAGAGGTCCACACTCCCTGTCATTACCCTACCTAGCCTAATCGAAGCTATCAAACAGAGGTAGTTGAAGTGATGCATCATATCTTCTAAAGCATCATGTATGAGGCTAACCCTCCACGATCCAAGCGAGGTGTCACAACTTACTGCAAAAAAATTCTAAAGCAACTGACCTCTCAACATGAGACGTTTTCTTGCTTAAGCACTTTAAAGAGATCTTCCGTACAAGATTTTCTGTATGATTGATTGATATTACCTCTCTGTTACAGACGTCCCAATCAATTGGTTGATCTACTTCAAGTTTTAGACCTAGGTCATAGGGGTTGCAACCTTTTTAGAATCATTAAATGCTCATGAACACAAGACCGATGAAATGATGCCTATTACAAGGTATCTTGATCATCAAAATGAGATCACGTGTCTCTTCATCCAATGGTAATCATTTCACATTTTTTTTATTATTATAAAAGCCTGCACTTAGTAACATTTGAAAATAATGCATTTTTACACTTTGAATAGTAATATTGCTCTTTTATTTTCTCTCATAAACCCTTGCTGCTCAAACACTATTGTGGCTCATGTCCACAACATGTTCCACACCCAAAATATCCATACAATTTAACTCTTTTCATCATTGGAGTGCTTGCAATAGCCTCCCTCACTTCGAAGAAGACCATGTGCTTCTAACAATTTGTCTAAGCGTGTAGGAGCAATTCGCATGGATGTGAATGGAGTAGGGATCTATTGACCACGTTACTCATGCAAAAATCGAGGTCAACATTGTTTAGACATTTTTAATAATATTTGTTGAATATGTTTTTAGAATATTGTTATTACATAATATTATACAAAATAATACTAACTTTTAATCAATCTTCTCAATAATTTGTATAAATTTTTTATTTTCTAAAAAAAATAACCATTGTCTCCATAAAGAATTTCACAAGTACCTTCATTATTTATTTACGTAATGCAAAAATATTTTTAATTTTGAGAAAAATATATTTCTTCATTCAAATAAAAATTAAATATTTAGATTTATTCCAGAGAAGTCATATTTAGGTGAAAACGAAGACTAAAATTTACACGAGGAATATGTTGTAAATGGGAAAGAAATGTTTTAATTAAATGAACGTCTTAACTTTTGTTAATTTTTGTACTCGTCTCCTTAATTTTTCTTTAAATAAATCAAATTCTTATCTTCAAACATTCAATTAATTTGTACATCTAATCTTTAATGATGATTTACATTCGAAAGATTCATTAGAAGTGCAAAAATAGACTAGCTTATCTCTCGTATTTTATAATCAAATGAATTCCAAGTACAAAAATTTGATAAACTATATGCATATCATTTCAATGCTCGTCGGTCAAATATTTGGACAAAAATTGTCAACAGAGATATGATATACCTATTTAATTAAAAATTAAAGATAAAAATGTAACAAAAAAAGATTAATAAAATAAATGAAAAAATTAGGAACATTAATAGTAACTAAAATATAATGTACAAGGAATTAATTTGGATAGTAAAATATTAATGTGGGATTTCAAATATTTGGGACTGTGATTATTAAATTATATTAATCTTATTTGCAATCGTCCACTACTACTAGGGCTGGGCAAATTTTTCGAATCGAACCGATCGAATCGAACTCGACGATTCTTGTCAAATTAAATATTCGAACGGGTATCTGAATTGAGAACCGATGGGTACGGTTCGGTTCTCGGTTCTAGAGCAAGAACCGAAGAACCGAATCTTTCTAATTTTTTTTTATATTGAGTAAATTAAATTATTTTAATTTTAATTTTTCTAAACAAATTAACAATTTCTAAATCCAAAATTTTGGCCCAATAATTTATTTCATTTCTAATTTTTTAATTTTTGGCCCAATTACCTTTTTTATTGTTTCATTTCTTAGCTCAACAAGATCCAATCCACTAAATATCTTTAAACACCTACACTAAAGTGCATAACATTGTCTCGACTCTTGTACTCACTCTCACAGTCTCGTTAATATTTCAAAATCTATACAATCGTCGACCGACACTGTGACCTCGGATCGAAGCTGTGACACCCGTTGACCGAAATTTTGACTGTAACGATCATTTGAATAATGTAGTTTACTGATCTCTAACACTCCAAAACCATTGAATGTATCATTAGTTGTTTTTATATAATGTTATAAATGTTAAAAAATTTAATTATAGTACAGAACCGAACGAAATCGAACTGAACCGAACGAAACCAAACCCGAACGGTTCCATAATTATATTTGGACCCGACGGTTCCATTTACTAGATACTCGAAAATTTTGGTTCGATTCGGTTCTCTTAAGAACCGAATCGAACCGACCCGCGCCCATTCCTAACTACTACATTAGTTATACGTGGTATGTATGTGACGGTTAGTAATTTGATACATTAATATGATAGTTTTTTATTATCTTGTACATCAAATTATTAACTGCCACATATATATCACGTATGATGAATGTGATAGTGAGTGACTGTATATAACATTACTCATTAATTTATTTTAGATAAAGTCGTGTTAGGAGAAGATCATGAGGGTAGTATTGACATTTCACACGATGGTTGAAAGCGAAGCTAACGCGACTGGCCGACCAAAGGACCTAGGGTTTTCACACTCTCATCTATTAGCGTCAAAATGTTACCCCTAAGTTAAATTCCACGCGTATAGAGAAAGTCTGTATGTATATGTATTTATAGGTTTCAGATAAAATAAAATACTGGGTTTGGCTATTTATTGCTGCAAAGGACTCATTTCAATAAATATTCTGAAATTTTCCAAACTTCAAACATGATTCTCATACTATCATGTCTTTCTCGTAATTAGAAAACGACTACTCCGTAAATCCCTTGGTGCAAAAATCAATTGAAAACATCAGTTTTTTCTTTTCTTTTCGTTTTGTGAAATTTAAGGTTTGCGATTCGTTATATGCAACCTGCTGGTAGAGAATTGGAAGCCATGAACATCAATTCCTTGCTGAATCAAGAACAATCACTCCAAGAAATGCATAATCATCAAAATGGTCAACCACAGATGTCATCCCACTTCGATCCGGTGTCGTCACATGATGATTTCCTCGAACAGATGATGTCGTCTATTCCATCTTCCAACTCCAGTTTTAACTGGGATGTGTCCTCCGTCGCGGGTCGAGCCGACCACGCGCCGCCTTCGAGTCTGCTTAGCCAGTTTGATGACCAGTCGGCGCAGTTGGTTTCAAAGCTGAGGCAGCACCAGATCAGCAGCGGCGCAACCAAAGCCTTGATGCTTCAGCAGCAGTTGTTGCTTTCCCGACGGCTCGCCGGAAACGGCCTCCAGTCGCCGACGGGGGTCTCCGGCGGGGAGAGTGGGCTCCTGCAGATGCCTATAAGTCTTAATAATAATGGTGACCACACCGATGTCGTTGACGGCTCCCTCCAATCTGCTAATCCGGTCAGCTTTTTGCTTCTTTAATTCATTTTCTCTCAAAAAAGACCAAGAAATCTTATATTTTACTAAACCGCCGGGAAATTTTTTGTTGTCAACGAATGATTACCATCTCAATACAGGCTAATGATACATCAATGCAAAGTTTATTCAATGGATTCACTGGATCTCTCGGTCAAACTGCAAATCAATCTCAGCATTTCCACCACCCTCAGGTTTTTAAATATTCAAGTTTACTGCATTTTATGCAAATTTAAATTCGAGTCTGCATAATTAATTATGTTGTTACACGGAGTGACACAGAATTTTGGAGCAACAGCGGCTCCGTCGATGAATCAGCAGGCGGCAAGTGGTTCAACCGGCGGAGGGACGCCGGCGCAGCCTAGGCAGAGGGTGAGAGCAAGGCGAGGACAGGCCACAGATCCTCACAGCATCGCCGAAAGAGTACGTACAAATAATATAGTACAAAAGCAGTTCCAATTATTTTGTTTTTTCTGATTTAACTTTCCGATTGATTTACACTTTTTTGTCATTTTCTCTTGAGTTTGTTTGTGATTCTTGAATATTTGGTTTCGTCCTGAAAATGAAATTTGGGTGAGCAGTTACGCAGAGAGAGAATTGCGGAGAGAATGAAGGCTTTGCAGGAGCTTGTACCTAATGCTAATAAGGTAATTTCACAGTACCCTCACTCGATTAAACGGATAATTATCTGAAAATTTATTTATTTTTTAATTAATTACCTTAGTAACTAGTATTTATTTAGTAGTTATTGTTAATTTTTTTAATTAATATGGAATGACAGACGGACAAGGCCTCAATGCTGGATGAGATCATAGACTATGTAAAATTCCTCCAGCTTCAAGTCAAAGTACTCTCTTTTTCTCTCTCTACTTTCTATTTTAATAAATAGAAGAATAATGTTATTTACATAAACTTATTATCGCACTCGTCTTACGTAAATCGGGAAAAAGAAAAAAGCTAACACAATAATGTATCAAATCAAAAATCATTATGTAGAATATCACATAGAGCGATTACTACAATAAATGATCATAAATAGAATTATTCTTTTTTCTTTGTTTATTCGATTTAGAAATTTGTAATGGAATTCTTCTTGATTGACAAATTCAACAAGTTTGAGGGCTATGTGAAATTCCATTGCTATTTTTTTTTTTTTTTTGGTTTGTATGTGTTCAGGTTCTTAGCATGAGTCGGTTGGGCGGTGCTGCAGCAGTTGCACCCTTAGTTGCTGATATGTCATCTGAGGTTAGTCACACTTTTGAACATCGATATATTCTCTAAATATGTACCAACCATTTTGAACAAGAATTTTTTTTTTAATCGTTTAATACCTAACTTTTCATAACTTAAGAATCGATTGCTAGTTTCGAGTCTGATTTAATTCTAGAATTTTGTCTAGCCGTACAAATATGTGTTACACAATGTTAATGTTCGGTTCCATGTCATTTTCCTAATTCAACTAGGTAAACAAATTATGATTTCTATAGAGAGCAACAAAAATGGTGAATAGTTTAGGGGCATGAAACATTTTTTCTTGAACAAACTAAACATCATCAACCCCCTCAACTCTTCCTTGTACCCCACAATAATCTCCATCAACCATAAACGACAAAACAATAAAGTATCACGCGTGCCCACTTTCCACTCCTTTTTCCGAACCAAAACTCCTTTTTTTCTTCTTTCTTTTCAACTTTTCCTTCTTGGTCAAATTGGTATTTTACATGTGTTTTCACTTTCAGAAATTCGTAAGAATGTTCTAAAATTTTAAAATATGCAACTTTTTTTGTGCAGGGAAGAAGCAGTAACGGAATACAAACGGCGTCATCATCTGACAACAATGAAACCATGACGGTGACGGAGCACCAGGTGGCTAAGCTGATGGAAGAGGACATGGGCACCGCCATGCAATACCTCCAAGGGAAGGGGTTGTGCCTCATGCCGATCTCATTAGCCACCGCCATCTCCACTGCCACGTGTCGCTCCAGGAACCCTATAGCAACGTCCAACAACCCACTTTTAAGTGGCGAGGCAGGTGGGCCATCTTCCCCTAGCATGTCGGTTTTGACCGTCCAATCTGCCGCAATTGGTGGTAACGGTGTAGTAGACGCCTCCGTTAAAGACGCGACTTCCGTTTAATTGATTGATCTTCACTGCTTTCAAACGGCGTTGACTGTTATCTAACCCTTTTCTTTTGGAAGAATGAATAGTGATGAAAATAAGTGTGAAAGTCAAAATGTTATTAGTTTTTATGGCCTGTATGAACTTTCAGCGTCCGACAAGTCTACCAAAATAAGGTTCCCTTTTAATCTCATCAGAGAGTATGAAACGGCGCCGTATTTATGTAGACTTGGCTTAAGTGTATTTTAACTTGAGCTAAATCCCATTAAGTTCTTGCTTTATTCTTTTTAACTTATTTGAAAAAGAAGTATTTCCATAATTCATGTTTTGGCCCAACGTTGATTAGATAATATTTAATTATTTAATTTTATAAATAGATATAAAATGAGAACCTTGCTGTACACTATGGTATACACTTTAGTTTACACTTTATCACGTGATATTATTCTATTGATCAATTTAAATTTTAAACAATTTTTTCATCTAATTGACACTTGATAACATTTTTTTTTTTTTTTAAATTGTCATTATTAACTTTTGAAATGGAATTGATGCAACCAAATGCCAATTGTTGTCAACGGGTACATTTTTTTTTATTTCAGTTTACTTTAGCAATTAATATACGAAAAAGGAGGTATTTTTCTATAGTTTAATTGTTAGAAAAAGTTTCCGTAACGTGTGTAATTACGATTTGTGTATGCACACCGAAAGTTTAAAATTTTATTTATTTATATAGTGTAAAATATTATTCCGATACTAATCATACTAGGGACGTAAACGAGCCGGACTAAACAGGCTCGCGAGCCTAAAGTTTCAGCTTGACTCGGCCAAAAAAAAGGCTCGGCCCGAGCTTCTTCTCGGGCTTTTTCGGGCCGAGCCAGGCAGGCTCGTTTTCTCCACACTTTTCTTTTTTTTTTCCCCCTCCTAAATTGCTGTCTTTGAAGGCAGCGAATAGCTCATGAGCCGGCTCGGGCAAAGCCCGTGTCCCCAAAATGGGGCTCCGCTCGAGCCTGGGCTCGGGTCTACCGAGCCAAGTCACAGGCGGCCGGAGCTCGCGAACCCGATTGCCATCCCTAAATCATACCCCTTTGTGCACCGTAAATAGATGTTAAAAAAAAAAAAAATGTTAAGCATGGGTTAATGAGCGAATATCTTTATCATCATCATCATCATTTTATTTTATTTTATTTTTTGAATTTTAGGCATGTAAATCATAAAAATAATAGACACCATCATTGTAGCGTTTCATATTTATCACCAAGATATATATGTTTTGCCTAATAAATTTTCCACGATTTGATATCAGGTCAAGCAACAAAAATAATTATAGATAGAAAAATCAACACTATAGAATATAGTATTGTAATATTCTCAATTTGGTGATAATTATTAAAAAAAAAAAAAATTATCCATAATCATTGTCGACATTATTACAGAAGTTAGTTCATTTTCGATTGTAACCATCTGATATAATAATTTGTTGTTAAGATAATATTTTATTATTGAAAAATTGATATTATTGATGGATAATTTATTTTTAATTTCCATTTATTATCCATGATTTTTTTGTTTATAAGGCAATTTCAAATGAAGTTGACTTTATCATATCTTCCCTTCGGACTCAAATTGAAATAGTACCATCATTCTTGCCGAAAGTTGTACCAATTACAATACAATGGCTAACAATTTATTAGGCAAAAGATAAGTGAAATATTATACTTAGAAGGTCAAGATTTAATTTAAATAGTAACAGCAAAGACTTGCTAAGGTTGATGATTTGTATTCAGACTTTCCTTCGGAGGAGAGTAGAATCCTTTAGGCCTGCTTGATACCTCTATTTTCCATGAGAAATCCACTCAATTTGTGTTGTTTGATGACCAAAATTTTCCATGGAATTATTTTTCCACTTCTACCTCACGTGATGCCATTTTCTTGATTTTTAAGGAATTCCAATTCCTTTGGTTTTGGTGAGAATTGGTTCTTTTTTTTTTTTTTTTTTTTAAAATGAAAACAAATTCTATCCACAATTGTAAAAAATTTCATCTATTTAATTGACAATTTTCATGAAAAATAAAGCAAAGCAAACACTAAAATATTCAAAATTTCAACATTTTTCAGGTGAAAAATTATACCAATCAAACACATTAATTGACAATTCATAGTAAAATAAGTTCTAGAGAATTCAATTATCTGAAATTCGTTTTCTTTCTATCCAAATTCTATTCTTGCAATCAAATGAACCTTTTTCATCTAAAAGGACATTTTTTTGCCAATCAACGACTTTGCACTCCTCACGAAAAATGGAACCAAACATGGGCCTAAATAAGTTAACAACCGAATTCGTAGCTCACCAACGACAACCCCATATAGTCTGAAAATTCTCAATCCCTTAATGGACAAGAATTATAACGACGCAAACAAAATAGATTAGTGCTATAGAAAATGCTCAATGATGTTTTCTCTTTCTTCATATAGTAAGCAAATTTGAAGAGGAAGAAGAAAAAGAAAGAGAACGTATATCTGGTAGGAAGTTTATAAACAGGGATAAATGAATGATGGGAAAGTGATTAATACTTGTAAATCCTACGAAATATGTGAATAAAAAGTGAGTTGATTAAAGTGTTTTCTTGACCAAGGTATTCATAAAACACAGGCTGAATAACGATATTGTTCATCAAATTGAGTTAAGCAGGCAGCCCAAGGACAGATAATAACACAAAAATCACGTGATCTCCATTCAGCCACCACCAAAATTATATGAGAACCACAAATCTATGTATGAAGCACGATCAGGCATGTAAAACAACCACCACAATTCTATGAGAACGACAAACAAATGACAGCGAATTTTCAGACTTCTCAGATTTCAAAATGGTTTCTTGGCAACAGAGACAGCAACAAAATAAAATTTACATCTCAGAGAACCTGTTGACTGATAATATTGCACACAAGTGTCCCCTGAGCAGAACAAAAGCTACCACTGTGCACTGGGTAATGCACTGCTTGTGGATACATGATGCTGCAACAGCAAGGAAACTAGCTAAGCACGAGATAAGGAACTAGGAAGCATGAATTTGAATTTTTTGATCAGGTGTAAAACTACTAAAGGCCAACATCATACATGGTTAGATGGGTCCAAGAAGACAGACAGCAAATCAAGATGACAGTTTGTATAGTTGCATTAATAAGCCAATCTATTAACTCTGCTCAATTTCGAGCAAAAATAATGGGCGGTAGCTCTAAATTATTTTTCAGTATTGCAATATCTGCTCATGAAAGCTTTAGGTTTTTTGAGAAATTCTTCAATTACCAACTGTAATTAATTCAATTATCTTATGAGTCGTATCTGTCTTATTTTGTATTATATATCGCCATTTCACTCTCTCCACTTTCGTTCTTATTATATTATTATTGTTTACAATGGATCTCTAAATATATAATGCCAAACTCAAATAGCTAGCAAGGTTGAAACCATAACCATGAGTAACTAAATTCAATATGTATTTTTCTAATTAGCTTGATTATTGTATTCTCATCAGAAACAATTAATTAAAATTCATTTCAAGTTTTTCTTAGAAATTCGGGGAAGTAGAAATCAGTACACTCAATTTGGGTATTATGACAGTTAAAGACAACGAACAAAAATATCATTATAAATTATTTTTTTCTTCTGATAAGTCCTTGACGGAAACATAAATCCTATGACAGTCATTCTATTCATGTCTTCTTTGATGGAAATGTATATAGACGAGGAAAAACTTATCAGTACCATGACTTTAAGGTGTAACATATGGATATTTTTACTTAATTACTTAATCTAATCAGTTTATCAGTTTAAGTTGGTACATAACGGTGCTTTTAATCATCTACTTTCTAATCAATTTAGGTTGGTACATGTGGATGCTTTTACTTAACATATGAATAAGCTAATCAGTATAAGTCGGTACATATGGATGTTTTTACTTATCTACCTAATGTTGGAGAATAATGCAGAGTGACGTCAAATCTGGAAATATCCTTGCCCAACCTTTGCCTGAAGTTGGACGAAGTTACAGCAAAGAAGCAAGAAAGAAACAAATGGAAAGAAAGAAACTTCAATGGATATGCTAGAAAGTGATGCAAAGTCAACGCAACAGTTGAACTCTTTATCCTTAAGTCGATTTGCCTTGTAACGGTGCCTAAAAATTATGGCAATCAACTCCAAAGATACAACGACTAACCTCTTGTGTTTGTAGCACTCCAAAACACGAACAACGAACTAGAAATTGGATTTTGCACTCCTTATATAAATGAAAAGAAAACCAAAAACTTTATGCCAAACTTGGGTATGAAAGGAAGAAAAAAATGTTATACTATGATTATATATCATTAGGATAAAGAAATGAACGTCCCAAGGGTCCTATTTATCGAGTGGGAAAGGTTGTGAGTGAAAAAACGCAGTCCAAAGCTCAGCAACCTTTGCTAAGGGTCGCAACATTTGCTCTCGCTCGCTTATCGCCTTTGCGTTGCTTGAGTGTCAAAAACAGTAAGCCTGTCGCTCGCTCTTCACTCTAGCGACATCCCTGTCGCTAGGAGAGTGACGGTGTCGCTAGATTATCCAGCCACCTACCCTCTTTACTTTCCAATTTTGAACCATAATTTCTTATTCATCTGAAACTGGTTTTGTCATTCCAAATATACGACGACGATCTCCTTGACGAGTAGAACAAGTTAGTCTATTTATTTTTGTAATTTGACTATTGGATCAAATCCGAATATTTGATCAAGAGTTGACACCAAGTCACTTTTTCCAATTTATACTTGACCAAAATTTTTAATTTCATAAATCAATTCCAACACTTAATGAGTTTAAGTTGGTACATATTGATGCTTTTACTTATCTACTACATAAGGATACTTTTATTTATCTACTTAATCTAATCGATTAGACATTTTAATACACTCATTTAATATGTCACTGTCAAGCATTAACCTAACCTCTTCCCCTAATATGAATCCTTAATTGTAATCTGAATCATGTAACTATACATCCTTACACTATCATGTACTATAAATTCATCAATTAAATCCGCTCTCAAAAATGTCATAAACACAAGTGCATGACCCAAACACCATTTCTGAATTTAGTTGTTTAACAAGAATAAAAATGTGAGAAGGGCAATTATCTAACTCCAGCATCCATCATTATGGGGGTATTTGATAGTCATTTTTATGTAAAAAATGCATTTTAGAATAGTAAATTGATGTGAAATGTGTGGTTGAAAAATAAGGAAAAGTTTTTTATTTGCGTATAATATTATTTTAATAAAGAATGTGTGGTTGAAAAGAAGAGAGAGAAAAATACATTTTGAAAAAAAATGGCTACCAAAACGGAGCCTATATATAGAGGAAGACGGTTTGGGAATGATGGGAGGGATTCACTAAAAGTCACAGAGCTATAATATAAAATAATTAGATCCCCTTACTCACAAACATGGTCATGAGTCATCCCAAAACTTCCAGGTATGAATAGCGTATCCCATAAATCTAACCCTTCCCCCATTTTTTCTTAGTTTTTGCGATATCACTGCAGAATGCATACCTCTTAACTATTTTTCTTCCATTTTTATCCAATTTGCCGGGGTACACAATTATCTCTAATAGGTGGGTGACAGGGTACATTTCAAGGGCTAAGCTATTCATGCCAGCAATTTCGAGAATGACCTTTCAGTTTTCACGTCCATGTTTCAAAATATATTTGGTTAGTTTTTCATCTTCTATTCAAGCCCATGGACATTTCTCCACGCAATTCTTATAAGAGGGAAGATATCTTGTTTTTGTATTATCTCTTTGATTTTTGCTGAACCCTCTGGTCATTCCAAAAAGTCAGGCACATTATAGAACAATCTCTCTTTATAAAATGATGGATGCTGATATTATATAAATAATGGAAATTCCATTGCAATGCTTCTTGAAATAATAAAATAGTTTCCCATCGAAACGAGCTCTTAAAATATCTAAATTTTTGAGATGGGCATCCCGAAGTATTAATGAATTCCTGCATATAATATTTGTTGAATAGATTCTAAATGAAGACAGACATCAAATCAAAAAGACATTTTGTACAGTCATATTAAATTATTAATATGCCCAACCTAATAATTTTGGTCAATTTCAAGCAGAAATGGCAATTCATGTAAAAGATCTTTATACAGTAATTTCTAGATTAAGTGGATGCAACCATTTGAAGGAGATTGAGAGCTAAAGGAGATCATCCTATAGTCATCTTATGTTCACCTAAAATCAGTGGTAGTTTGTACACCTAAATTTCTGTTGACTGCAAAGACTACACTTTCACAAGCCAAAAGAATAAAATAGACATCATCATAAGTGAAGCATAAAAATAACCGCACTCCATAGTGATGAGGATATCTGATTTATTTATTTATTTTATTTTATAGTTGCACTTTATTTATTATCTTGGGCTCTTATTTAGGGAATTGGGCCTGTATTGGCCCTGCCCAGTCTCGTTAGAATTTGTTTTACTATTTAAACCTAGTTTGCGATGTAATTTTTTTAGTTGATGATTGAATAAAACTTTTGGTGGCTTGTGGCAAGAGTTCTCTCTTCCTACATTCTTTTACTTCTTCTTCTTTGTTGATTCTCCTCCTACTCTTCCCCCCTTAATTCCCTCTTCCTTTTTCTCTCTCCCTTAATTGCCCAGTTAGTGATGCATCAAATTTGGTATTAGAACCGAATCTTGGGTAATTCCACTTCTACAATCCAAAATCTCTTCCTATTTCCTTCCCAAAATTTGTTGGAACAGCACAATTGAAAAAAATTTATGTAAGAGTAGCAGTTCTCATTCTTTGTGTGAGAGGAAAAAAAAAAAAAAAAAGGAGTTCAATTTTAGTATTTTCATCAGTTTAAAAAAAATAAAAAAAAATTCCTTGGCTGCAGCTGCATGATAAAAGTCTATTCCATAAATTTTAACACCTTAACCTTACTTGCAAGGGCCCAAAGTTCACTTATTCCAGTTAATCCAATTCCTTCTAACCAACTTAAATTTTTCAATCCAACAGCCCACTCATCAATCTATCTGTTCAGCCCATTAGCAACCCAAATTCCTACAAAATCTCTAAACCCACACATACCCAATTACTCAGCCAACAAATAATTGCCCTTACCTTCGGCCCAAACCTAATCCACTCTTAACTCCACTCCTAAGCCTAAACCATCACCTTCAACAAGCCCTCATATTCCCCACAAATCAGCCCAATTGTCCATAAGAAATTCGAGCCGTCGTATCAGCACAGTCCCCAGTGTTTCCCACGCATCTCAACGTCGGCATCCACCATCCTCTTGTCCTCAACCCTATCGCCGGTGCTTGTCGCCAGCCCTATCACCGGCGCCACCACCACTAAAACCAACGAACCCACAATCGCACCCTTCATCCACCATACCCACAATCACTTCATCTCGATCGCCGTTGCCAACAAAAGCCACCACCCACCGTGAGGGAACAACCCACAGTCATCGGCACTCATTGTCACCTACATACAAATACCACAGTCAACCCATAAATACATACACAAGACTCAATTAACCAAGTCACCACTTTCATATAGTCACTCATATCACAGTCAACCACCACTTTTGCCTCACACCTCTCACCACAACAGAGGGACAATCACCACAAAATAAGTACATTGCTGCTTGCCAGTTGCACTTGGAGTGATTTTTGAAGGGAAGCCACCTGAAACAAAGAAAAGGACGCAAGCATAACCCGAGCCCACTTGTCAGTAGTTTGGGTAACTAAACGACAGGGAGTTCTTGATTTCTATTTATTTTTTCTTTATACTGGTTCTTCATCTTAAAGTCGCATCATTTACATTATTTGTGTTGCTGTTATTTGATAATTATGGCCTAAAAACCTACTTGATCGGAATTCGTGAACTAACTTCCATTGTCCCCTCGATTACCCTTAGGGATGGCAATGTCGGCTCCGCCCTTTAACCCACGAGCTCGGCTCGGGCTCGT